GTTCGTCTCGCTTTGCCTTGCCTTTGGTTTCTGTTTTTTCGATTTGCACAGCATAATGACACAGGGTGGAGAACAGAGGACGGTCAAAAGTAAAAATTACGCTTCTTGCCAAGAGGCGGCTTGGCTGGCGCACAAGCAGAGGAAGTGGGGAGTAATGAGAGATCCTGGCCCGGCATGGAGCGGCCTGCTATGCTTTCTGCTCTGCTTTCTGGCGAGCACACAGCCTGCAAATTACAGAGAACACAGACTGAGCTCCGGCCCACCCAAACCCGCCATCTTCTCCTCTCTCCCTTCTGAGTCCTCCTCTTAGGAAAAAACCAACAAAAGGAAAAAAAATAAAAAATCAAGAGCAGAGTGCAGGAAGGAAAACTTAAATATTTACACGAAAAGCTTGTCCCTGTGTCCAAGTGACTTCTCCCCTTTAACGTACGACTTTTTGAAGCTAAACGGCGTTCTTGTTTTACAGCGCTAACGTTTTACCGCTTGATGCTCGCCGCTGTTTGTTTGGCGTCAAGAAGAGGCCACGGCTGCCTCCCTGTCAGCTCGCTTCTTCCTCAAAGACATGAAGTCATATCCTGCGCGGCCCTTTCCTTTGGCTGCTAACCCAAACAAGAAATGAATGCATAGAATGAAGGGAGGGAGAGACTGTGGCCGCACTGTTTCTCTCGCCGCGAAAAAAGCATGTGTTTTTTTTTCTTTCGAGCTTCGAGGAACCAACACACAGGCTCATAGCAGAAATATCCATTAACCCAGCTTTTTCCCACTTCCAAAATGCCCCGGTTTCTCCTGGGACTTCCGGCGTGACGGCAGAACTGGTTTGAGTATAATGAGCCAAGGTGGAAAGACTAAATTTAATCTTCGTCGGAGCCCGTGATGAAGGTTATACCTCAACCCAATTCACAGAAGGACTAATTGAGTGAGCGCCATGGCTGCCAGTCTGTGGAGAGAAGCCACCTCCTGCTGCTGCTGCTCTGGTCTCTCTTTGGTCTCTCTATGGACTCTCTCTCAGGTCTCTATCTGGTCTCTCTTTGGTCTTTGGACTCTCTCTCAGGTCTCTATCTGGTCTCTCTTTGGTCTCTGGACTCTCTCTCAGGTCTCTATCTGGTCTCTCTTTGGTCTCTGGACTCTCTCTCAGGTCTCTATCTCGTCTCTCTTTGGTCTCTGGACTCTCTCTCAGGTCTCTATCTGGTCTCTCTCTCAAATCTCCATTTGGGTTCTCTTTCAGATCTCTCTATCTGGTCTCTGTCAGGTCTTTCTCTATCTGGTCTCTCTCTCAGATCTCTCTATCTGGTCTCTCATAGGATTTTTTTTGCTCTCTCTCCGGTCTAACTCTCTTTTGGAATCTCTCTATATGGTGTCTATCTGGTATCTATCTGGTGTCTCTCTCAGGTCTCTCATTCTCTTATCTCTCTTGCCAGCCTCGCTCTCTTCTCTCTCTCTGGTCCCTATCTCTCTAGTCTCTCTTTTTCTGGTCTCTCTCTTAGGTCCCAATTCACAGAAGGACTAATTGAGTGATGGCCCTGGCTGCCTGTCTGTGGAGAGAATCCACCGCCGCCTGCTGCTGCTTCTGCTGCTGCTGCTTCTGCTGCTGCTGCTTCTGCTGCTGCTGCTGCTGGTATAAGAATACAAGGGGACCTAAATTTAACTTGCAATGAGAGGAAGTGCCTGTGTGACAGTCGGCCGTGCGCCAGGGCTCGTACCGGGTCATCCTATCTCCCGGTCTGCGCACATGTCGCCGCGGGCCCTCACCGGATCGCCTTACATACAGCCTCTCTGGGTCAGTCCCTCATGGCACCAGTAGGCATGCCATTCGCCAACACATACTATACACAGCAGGGCATAGCTACATAATAATAGAGGCGCATTGCTAAACGACACCAAAACACTGACACACTAAAGCGTACATGCAGCACAGAATAGCCAGGCTGCTGCAACATTATAAACACGCATGTTAAAGATTCAGTTCTGCCAAAAGGAGGTAGGTTTGGCTCCGTGCATGTTGATCCTCATCTATTCTGAAACTACAAGAACTCCCCAAGCAGTCAGTTTTTATCATGAATACATCTTTACTGCAGGCTAAAACTAAGGCTAATATGATTAAAATCAGCAAAACTAAATAGAAACGGCGGCAACTAAAGAGGCTGTTGCTATGGTGACAAGCGGAGACTGCTTTAGACCTGTCTAAGATCAGTCTAGGATCAAAACAATTTCCTGAAACTCCCCGAGCAGTCATTTTGATGGTTTTTGTTTTGTGACTTTTTATGTCTCTATATGTAGTTTATTTCTATGTCATTTGTCATTATTGTGTAATGAAATGATTTTGTGCGAGTGGTTCTTCTACCTTTAACTAATTTTCCACTAAAGAATATCAAATGCTAGTAACCATAGCAACACACTGTTAACTGCCAGAAGTTAGCATTAGCATTAGCATGTTCTGTTGTATTTCAGTTGCAGTTATAATGACCGGAATTAGCGGGGAAAAAAACCTTAAAAATGACATTATTTTCATGAATCTTGTGAAAAACTAAACATTCTTTTCACATCTTTACGACAAGCTTTAACCGGCGATATATATATACATTAAAAACAACAAAACGAAACGGTAACTAAGGCAAGTAAACAGTGTGTTGCTATGGTAACTATGGCACCAGTCTAGCCCCAGTATAATTTCATAAACGCATAGACATAGAAATAAACTACATATAGATGCAGAAAAAAGTGACGAAGACCAAACGCATACATAAACAAAGTAATTACACCTCCAAGACAGGAAACAAGCGTCAAATTGACTGCTCTGGGTTAGTTCTAGAGTGCAGAAGGAACCAACGAGCCCCTAACAAGTTCAGATATTACTCAACACTGCCCACATTCATAGCCAGTGCCTCCTTAACCCTGACCCGCTCTCTCCATGTTTTTTTTTTTTTTCTTGAAATCAACCCAAAGTCCCTGAGCTAAGCCCCCAGCCTCCGCTCAGATCGGCACCAACCCCCTGCCATATTTCTTCCCTCTCTTTCCTTCTCCGGCGCTCTCTATATGCCGAGCTCTGTTCCAAGCTGATGACGTGAGCCAACAAGAGGAGCTTTGGAGCCGCTCGCCTGGCAGGCAGCCCAGATTGCTTTTGCGCTTGTCCCTGTCACAGTCTCACACTCTTAACTCCTTCCTGTCTGTCTGCCACAACTCAAAAAAATAGACCTTATATTTTATAGTGGTGGGGAATCGATTCTGTTCAGTATCGCGATATTTTGCAGTTAAATCGATACAGATGAGAAGTATTGAGATATTTAATTCAATGATTATCTGTGTCTTTTCTCTATGACGTCTTGTCTGTAATAAGGTCCAGTGTCTTTCTAAGTTTTTGCACTTCCTCCTTAATAAAATGAATACTGAATCTTTTTTTCCTAAATGTTTGTAATCTTTGAATAATATGAGGGGCATGAATCACAATATATCACAGAATCGATACTTGCTGTATCGCGATATGTTAAGAATTGCGATACTTGCACCTCTGCCGCTGTGACCTTATTACTCGTGTTTGCTACTTTTAGAATGATGTATGTATTTGTTTGTTTGGATGGATGTGTTTCTGCTGCTGCTCGACACTGGAATTTCTCTTCTCTACAAGGATCAAAAAAGTATCGATCTACTTGCTCTATCACAATATTATAACAATTGCAAGAATATCGAATCCTGGCCCAAATATCGCAATACTATCGAATCGTGACATGTTTCCAATTTCGAGCCCAGCACTAAATATACAGCTTTCTCAATGAAGCTTCATCAATCGTTCTAAATGTAAAAACACAAGATTGCCATTATCCCACTCGGCTGCAAAGAGGTGTAACGATAACTCCTCCTGACTTCAAATCATTAGCACTTTGGACACTCTCCTTCCTTCTCTCTGTAAATATGTCTGGAGCAGGACATAAAAAGGCCAGAGTGAGTGAATTAGAAGGTCAGCAGAAGGCCTCTGGGAGAGCCATGTTTCTTTTGTCAGAGAGAAAGAGAGAGGGAGGGACGCAGAACAGCGGGTATTAGCGGTAATAGGCCAAAGGAAGTGTTTGAAGGCTGGCGTTAGAGAGCGGTGGATGTTATCGCAGGTTTGTAGATGAGTTTGAATCTGTACGCAACGTTAAAACAACCCTTAGAAAATACACGTAGGAATAAAACCCATTTTTGTGGCTAGTGAAGGAGCTAAAATTACAACAACTTCTATGAACATTCATGCACACCAGGGGTTTTTGTTTTTACTGATGTTTAGAAGACATGGACATTGAGTTTAAAATGATGTATGACATGCCATGGAAGCACAAATCTACTATAAATGTTCAATGATAAGAAGTGCACATAACGTTGAGGGGCCACTGCTGCATGTTTGAACCCTGATGCAGCGAGGATACTCCCTTCTCAAACATCCCTGCCCCCAAACAAAGGAGGGGAAATGGGCAAAAGGCAACTGACATAAAACAGGCTTTAAAGACCCAGTAATGAGAACCATCTGAGGCTCAGAGGAGACTGCTCCACTCTGCTCTGAGCCCAAGGAAAGGGCCTGGGGAAGCAAGGCATGGCAGCTAAAGGGGATTATGGCAGAAAGCTAAAGGAAACCCGAAACACGCCTCGCTCCAGGGTTAAAGAGGGAAAAACAACATGAAGAAAGTGAGGAGCGCTGTGTCTGCTGCGGGTCCACTCTGTGTGTAATGTGTTCACTGCTTTTATATCTACTTTGTTTTATATTCATGCTGCAAACAGCAGCCCTACACTGCACCAGCACATGGAGCAAACGAAAAGCAGAGGAGCTGTGTTCAAAGAACCACAAGGAATTTATGTGGATGTGGGAGAAATACAGCTCTCTGCTGCACTGGAGTTTTATTACAGAAGGCACCGGGGCCCCACAATCACTGCCTCATCAGCAGAGGATGAGGGATGAATAAGAGAGCGGACAGACAAGAAGCAAGAGAAGAAAGGACTGTGGAAACTGGCAGAATGATAAAAGGCATATTTACCTGAAAGCCCCACAGGGGCTGAATATGTGGTTCCCCCAGTGTCACTGGATGAAGGTCCAGAGTCTGGAGAATCTAGACGGAGACAGAGACATATGTGAGTGAACTGTGTGTGTGGGAGAGAGGCTAAGCGGCAGCTGTGAGGCTATCAATCACCTGCTGAAATCAATGCCTAATGAAGACGCTGACGAGCAGGCTCACACTCTCACACACTGAAGACTAACACTGCACACTTTCTTACACCCCTGATAATCCCCCATAATCCACTGCTGCATGAGAAACTGTAGGTCTCATCTCTGCTCAGACAAGCTGCTGATCTCCTGTTAATGGTCTGGGTGGAACTCTGCTCCTTACTCCAAAAACAAACCACTTCTGCTGCCAGAACCAGGTCTGCCCCAGACCTGGTTCTGGGGCAGACCTGGTTCTGGGGCAGACCTGGTTCTGGGGCAGACCTGGTTCTGGGGCAGACCTGGTCCTGGGACAGACCTGGTCCTGGGGCAGACCTGGGTCTGAGGCGTTCACTAATGATACATTCCTTTCTCTGCACGTCGTTGCTGCAGCTCCTACATCCAGCTCTGGGGCTTCACTTCAGCAGCAGCTTTTATGACCAGGAAGTGAGACATAACTACACACAATTCTTAGATGACTCATAAATCACAATCAAAGTGTTGTCTCTTCTATAGACTCAACCGTCGATATAAAGTTTCACGCTGTCAGACTCTACAACGAACAAAGAGGGCTAATAAAACACTGGCGACCTGCTTCTTCATTATGATGACGTTAGAAATGTTATTTTGTTTTTGTATAGACTTGTTCTGTGTGCTCCTCATTCCTACAGTTCTGTGACGATGCAACACTGACATTTCCCCAGAGTGGGACCATTAAAGGATGTTTGAACTTTAACACAGACTTTATTGTGACCCCAGATGCAGTTAGCGTGTGTGCGTTTACAACACGCACTAATAAACGGGACTGCGATGGCGTTCCTGCAGCATGGTTCACTTATTGTTGCACTATGTCCTGACGCAGCTGGATTCAAAACGCTGTGGTCGCCGCCGTTCAGCGCCGGTCGCCACGGTAACAGTTCAGAGCCGACCACCGAGTCCAGGGGTCTCAGAGTGAAGCTAAACAGGCTGTGATTGATGTTCCCCAGAGCCGGGAGAAGGTAGTACTCTCATATTGACCACTGAGAGTCCACTGAGTCCACTTCCTGCTCTGTCGTCGTAAAACAAGTATAATAAAGTTGAGGCTGAGTATCTCATGTCACTATCAAGTCAACAGAGCATTTTCTGAACCATTACTTTGATTAAACAGAGAGATACAGACAGAAGCTATTAGTGGTGAGGGAATAAAAATATGTTCTGCTCAGTATCGCGATATTTTGAAATTGAATCGATACCGAAGAGAAAAGTATTGAGATATTTCATTCAATACTCATCTGTTTCACTTGTGTTTTCTCTGAGTTTTCTCTGGTCATTTACATTCAATTCAATGACATATGTTCTTGTAGAGTCCTAAATCACAACAGAAGTTATTTATCTCAGAGGACGTCTGCTTGTTATGACTCTATGACGTTTGCTTGTTGTGACTCTATGATGTCTGCTTGTCGTGACTCTATGATGTCTGCTTGATGTGACTCTATGACGTCTGCTTTTGTGACTCTATGACGTCTGCTTGCTGTGACTCTATGACGTTTGCTTGTCGTGACTCTATGATGTCTGCTTGTTGTGACTCTGTGACGTCTGCTTGTTGTGACTCTATGACGTCTGCTTTTGTGACTCTATGATGTCTGCTTGTTGTGACTCTATGACGTCTGCTTTTGTGACTCTATGACGTCTGCTTTTGTGACTCTATGACGTCTGCTTGTTGTGACTCTATGACGTCTGCTTTTGTGACTCTATGACGTCTGCTTGTTGTGACTCTATGATGTCTGCTTGTTGTGACTATGACGTCTGCTTTTGTGACTCTATGGCGTCTGCTTGTTGTGACTCTATGACGTCTGCTTTTGTGACTCTATGACGTCTGCTTTTGTGACTCTATGACGTCTGCTTGTTGTGACTCTATGACGTCTGCTTGTCATGACTCTATGATGTCTGCTTGTTGTGACTTTGTGACGTCTGCTTGTTGTGACTCTATGACGTCTGCTTGTTGTGACTCTATGACGTCTGCTTTTGTGACTCTATGACGTCTGCTTTTGTGACTCTATGACGTCTGCTTGTTGTGACTCTATGACGTCTGCTTTTGTGACTCTATGACGTCTGCTTGTTGTGACTCTATGACGTCTGCTTTTGTGACTCTATGACGTCTGCTTTTGTGACTCTATGACGTCTGCTTGTTGTGACTCTATGACGTCTGCTTTTGTGACTCTATGACGTCTGCTTGTTATGACTCTATGACGTTTGCTTGTTGTGACTCTATGATGTCTGCTTGTCGTGACTCTATGATGTCTGCTTGATGTGACTCTATGACGTCTGCTTTTGTGACTCTATGACGTCTGCTTGTTGTGACTCTATGACGTTTGCTTGTCGTGACTCTATGATGTTTGCTTGTTGTGACTCTGTGACGTCTGCTTGTTGTGACTCTATGATGTCTGCTTGTTGTGACTCTATGACGTCTGCTTGTTGTGACTCTATGACGTCTGCTTTTGTGACTCTATGATGTCTGCTTGTTGTGACTCTATGACGTCTGCTTTTGTGACTCTATGACGTCTGCTTTTGTGACTCTATGACGTCTGCTTGTTGTGACTCTATGACGTCTGCTTTTGTGACTCTATGACGTCTGCTTGTTGTGACTCTATGATGTCTGCTTGTTGTGACTATGACGTCTGCTTTTGTGACTCTATGGCGTCTGCTTGTTGTGACTCTATGACGTCTGCTTTTGTGACTCTATGACGTCTGCTTTTGTGACTCTATGACGTCTGCTTGTTGTGACTCTATGACGTCTGCTTGTCATGACTCTATGATGTCTGCTTGTTGTGACTTTGTGACGTCTGCTTGTTGTGACTCTATGACGTCTGCTTGTTGTGACTCTATGACGTCTGCTTTTGTGACTCTATGACGTCTGCTTTTGTGACTCTATGACGTCTGCTTGTTGTGACTCTATGACGTCTGCTTTTGTGACTCTATGACGTCTGCTTGTTGTGACTCTATGACGTCTGCTTTTGTGACTCTATGACGTCTGCTTTTGTGACTCTATGACGTCTGCTTGTTGTGACTCTATGACGTCTGCTTTTGTGACTCTATGACGTCTGCTTGTTATGACTCTATGACGTTTGCTTGTTGTGACTCTATGATGTCTGCTTGTCGTGACTCTATGATGTCTGCTTGATGTGACTCTATGACGTCTGCTTTTGTGACTCTATGACGTCTGCTTGTTGTGACTCTATGACGTTTGCTTGTCGTGACTCTATGATGTTTGCTTGTTGTGACTCTGTGACGTCTGCTTGTTGTGACTCTATGATGTCTGCTTGTTGTGACTCTATGACGTCTGCTTTTGTGACTCTATGACGTCTGCTTTTGTGACTCTATGACGTCTGCTTGTTGTGACTCTATGACGTCTGCTTTTGTGACTCTATGACGTCTGCTTGTTGTGACTCTATGATGTCTGCTTGTTGTGACTATGACGTCTGCTTTTGTGACTCTATGACGTCTGCTTGTTGTGACTCTATGACGTCTGCTTTTGTGACTCTATGACGTCTGCTTTTGTGACTCTATGACGTCTGCTTGTTGTGACTCTATGACGTCTGCTTGTCATGACTCTATGATGTCTGTTTGTTGTGACTTTGTGACGTCTGCTTGTTGTGACTCTATGACGTCTGCTTGTTGTGACTCTATGACGTCTGCTTTTGTGACTCTATGACGTCTGCTTTTGTGACTCTATGACGTCTGCTTGTTGTGACTCTATGACGTCTGCTTTTGTGACTCTATGACGTCTGCTTGTTGTGACTCTATGACGTCTGCTTTTGTGACTCTATGACGTCTGCTTTTGTGACTCTATGACGTCTGCTTGTTGTGACTCTATGACGTCTGCTTTTGTGACTCTATGACGTCTGCTTGTTGTGACTCTATGACGTCTGCTTTTGTGACTCTATGACGTCTGCTTTTGTGACTCTATGACGTCTGCTTGTTGTGACTCTATGACGTCTGCTTGTCGTGACTCTATGATGTCTGCTTGTTGTGACTCTGTGACGTCTGCTTTTGTGACTCTATGACGTCTGCTTGTTGTGACTCTATGACGTCTGCTTTTGTGACTCTATGACGTCTGCTTTTGTGACTCTATGACGTCTGCTTGTTGTGACTCTATGACGTCTGCTTTTGTGACTCTATGACGTCTGCTTTTGTGACTCTATGACGTCTGCTTGTTGTGACTCTATGACGTCTGCTTTTGTGACTCTATGACGTCTGCTGTTGTGACTCTATGACGTCTGCTTGTTGCTTGTTGAAATCCAATATATCGCAGAATCGAATCACAAAACTTTGCTGTATCGCGATATCTCAAGAATCACGATAATATTGAATTGCGGCCCAAATAATACTAACGAATCGTCACATTTTAGTCCGATTCTCAGCCCGAGAAGCGATCGACAACAACACAAGGCTGCAACCCGGATGTGCACTCGGAGAGCACAAACCCCCGCCAACACAGTCAATTATCTCAACATTTTAGTACACGGTTTTTCCTACCAATGCATCCCATCTTCACACAGTTTCACCTCAATCCATCCACACACACACACACACACACACACACACACACAGACGATCACAATACCCCCAAAGCCAGTGGGGTTATAGCAAGAAACACATATACAAATACATGTATAAAACAATATATTTGACCTTAACTATACATTCTGGGGCCAGATTTCGTGGCGTGTATGTAAATGAGCTGGGGGGGGGTTCTCGCAGATGCATTAGCGCTAGAATAAAACACACACATGTAGCGGAGGGGGAGGGAGGGGGTGGGGGGGAGAGAGACCCCAGCTGCTGTAGAAATGACTTCCTATTGTTTCCATTCACTCAGAGGCACTTTCTCCTTCTCGTGGCCATGTGTGCGCTCGCTAACGGCTCATTGTCTGACACGGCGCTCTTCCTGCGCTGACAGCTTCGCACGACTCACGACAGAGAAGGAGACAGCGTCCGGTTCTAACGCTCCCAGGAGTTTGTGCAGGAGCAGATTCTGTGCTTCTGATTGGACCGCGGCAGAAGCAGCTCTACTGTCCACTGTTTATGTGAAAATACTACTTTTGTTGTCGTTTTGCTGCGTTTCTTTCAGGGATGACTGTTGATGTTTGAGGATATAAATTATTCTAATCAAACTAAAGATTATTAGAGATTTATTATTATTATTTTTATCATTTACTCCGACTCTGTGGGTCCTGACAGTTTGAGTAATAATGGAACTAGAAACCAGCAAATGGTCTTTCTTTGGAGGAACATAAAATACTAAACAGAAGTTCTTGTAAACAGGAGCAGATGATTGTTATGGTGACACAGAACAAGTCTGTCTGCGATTCACTAAAGAGATGAACACAAGAAGCTCCTGCAGTGGCTCTGGTGCGGTGCCATTTAATATATAGTATGACTTTGGGGCTGGCAGCGCTGAGTGTCCAGCAGCTCCTCCACTGATCATAAATCACAACAATACATGGAGCCAGCTCTCACTCTCAGACAAATACAGAGACAGTATGTTTCTACAACAACCACAGAGATGTAAAAGAGTTCTCACCTGGTGGTTTAAGATAATCCATGGGATAGCGAGAGTAAGGAGGAGGAGGAGACTCTGAAGAGAAAACAAAGCAGTATATTAGAAAAGACATTAAGTTTATGATAAGAATTGTCATTCTTCAGTCAGCTCAGAGCAGGCTATTGCCTTTCATTGGCTCTCAGATAAACAGGGGCCGCCTGGCGCCACAGGCCACTATCAGCGTCTAGGACAAACTGAGATACAGGCCTCTTTTGGCCCGGGACTCCAAACACACACACTACACACACAAAATACACACTACACACACACACAACATACACACTGCACACACACACTAAACACATACTACATACACACTGCACGGGCGGCACGGTGGCTGAGTGGATAGCACTCTCGCCTCTCAGCAAGAAGGTCCTAGGTTCGAATCCCAGTTGGACCAGGGCCTTTCTGAGTGGAGTTTGCATGTTCTCCCCGTGTCTGCGTAGGTTTCCTCCGGGTGCTCCGGTTTCCCCTACCACTAAAAATATGTACAATAGGTCTGGCATGTGCCTCCTGTACTGGCACCCCCACTCCCAAAAATCACAATTGTAAACCGCTTTGAGACTCCGATGTGCAGTGAAAAGGCGGTATATAAATAAAGATTACTTACTACTACTACTACTACTACTACTACTACACACTACATACATATTACACACACACTACATACATACTACACCCAGACTGCACACACACACACTAAACACATACTACACACACACTGCACACACAAACTACACACATACTACACTCACACTACACACACACTAAACACATACTACACACACACTGCACACATACTACACACACACTGCACACATACTACACACACACTGCACACATACTACACACACACTGCACACATACTACACACACACTGCACACATACTACACACACACTACACACATACTACACACACACTGCACGCACACACACACTCACTGGTAACTTCAGCGGGAAACACTTAAACCCTGGTTGCACATTTCGTTGAAAGACCATTTAAGTAGAAGGAAGACCATTAATTGTATTGGGGAACACTACTGCGTTACTGCGTTACTGCGTTACTCCCAAAGGCCTCAGTACCAAACAGTGATGACATGAGGGACACCTCTGCTGGAGGTTCGTGATTCAGACATTATTCTGTGTCTCTGTGTTTCAGTGAGTGCCGCTGAGGGAGACATTGTAGCTAAAGTCTGGGGGACATTGGAGCTAAAGTCTGGGGAACATTGGAGCTAAAGTCTGGGGAACATTGGAGCTAAAGTCTGGGGAACATTGGAGCTAAAGTCTGGGGAACATTGGAGCTAAAGTCTGGGGGACATTGGAGCTAAAGTCTGGGGGACATTGGAGCTAAAGTCTGGGGAACATTGGAGCTAAAGTCTGGGGGACATTGGAGCTAAAGTCTGGAGCTCACCGAGTTCACAGAGCCTGCTCATGTGGTGCGGGTTGCAGCAGACCAGCTCCGGGTTGACTTTCCCGTAGGATTCACAGCACGACAGCCTCTTGAGCTCCGAGGAATGCCTGAGATCCGGCCACCTGAACACTTTGTAGAGCAGCATGGGGAGAGAGTAAGACTGTTGACCCACTTTGGCGTCCACTTTGCTGGGCATGAGCAGACAGGGGCTCCGTGCGCCCCCCTTGGACTCCACGGCCTGCAGCAGCACCTCTAATTGTTTCTCTTTGATCTTTTTTAGTATGGAGTGGGTCAACGCCTTTAGTTCGGCCTCAGCGGCGCCGTTGGACTTAGCCTTTGTCGCTTTGCCCATGCAGCAGCCCCCGGGGCCATGCGTCCCTCTGTCCGCCTCCCCGTCGCCCTCCACGGGCGCGCGGCTCCTCCAGAGTCGCCGGACGAGCCCCGATCGTTTGGTCCTAAACATACGGGACGAAAAGAGGTTTTCCCGGCTAAAAAACGAGCATTGTGTCCGCAAATCATGAAGATTCCGGGATCCGAGTCCAGGCAGTGAAAAGCAGCCTGAGAAGAAGGAAAAGGAGTGGAAAACCTGGCAGCTGGGCGAGCACAGAGAGTGTGGACCATCCGCCAGTCTCCAGTCTCCACTGAACAAACCACAGAGAAACCCGCTGCGTGGAGCTTCACTGGAGCTTCACTGGAGCCGCACTACATCCAGGGTGAACGCGTGAACTGTATCAAAGCCGCCGCTGCACATTCAGCCCTGTACGCATCCCGCACACCACGATTCATGGCCAAACATCGCTGTTCTCACTGTCTCCGAGGCCTCACGCTACAATCTGACACTAACATACTGAGCCAGGAGCGCGCTGTGTCGGGAGCATTAATCCACAGGATCCTTCATCCGCTCACACGCTGCAGAAGCACAGTCCTCCGTGGATCTCTTTGTGGATCTCTCTGTGGAACTCTCTCTGTGCTGCTCTGCTCCGGGTCCGCGTCCGAGCAGCTCACGGGGAGAAGCGAAAATCCACAAACGAGAGAGAAATAAAGGAGAGAAATATAGGTCCACAGTCGGAGCTCTGTCGCAGCGTCTTCAGTTGAATAATCCAGGCTTCAGAATGACACAGACAGAGCGGAGACGTGAGGAGTGCGCTCGAAGCCTCTCTGTCTGTGAGTGAGGCGGGCGGCTCGGGTGCCCTTGCTCCGTCTCCAGTCTCCAGTGCGCATTGACGCGCCCGGTCACGTGGGTGTCTAGACACCCTGTCGCTTAAAAGAAATGTGATTGTGTTGCGCAAACAACAGATCAAGTAGAGCCCACAGCGCGCGCACACACGTACACACACACGCACATACGCATACACACGCGCGCGCATAGACACACACACGCACGCACACACACACACACACACACACACTGTTGCCTACATGATGACTACGCTTTGAAAAAAAGATAGGTTTGGGCACGATAGACATGTGGGCAGGCATGTTTATTAGTATAGCACAGTTCATACACAAGGCAACTAAGTGCTGAACAAAACAAGATGAAAACATTAACATTATTATTTATTATTACACTATTATAATATTATAAATAATCACAGAACGTTAAAAAGAGTGAAAGACAGAACCTGGATTTGAACATTGTCAGAGTTAGAAGCCTGTCTCACATTTTCAGGAAGATTTTAGCTGCATGAATCTGAAATGCTGCCTCGACTTGTTTAGTTTAGTCCTGACTCTGGGACCAGCAGGAGACAGAAAGAGACTATGTATTTATCTGTGTATGTCCCTAAACCACAACAGCAGTTTTCTCTGAGGATTAAACAAAGAATTAGAAATATATCTTCACTCTTTTTATATTGTAGTTATTTATTAATTACTCCTTGTGTGATTTTTTTATGGGGTTTTTTTCTATTTTTTTTCTAGGTCATTGCCTTGTCTATTGAAACAAATACAAATAGTGTAGCCAATAATGAGACGTGGGCACATGGCTGTTTTGTGACAATCAGAAATAGTCTGAGAATAAAAATATGTATATAATGAATAACCAAAATAGAACGCGAGGTTGGTTCGAGTCTCACCCACAAACTGTAAATATGAACTCACCGCAGATCGATTAGAAATGATAAGTTATTTACGTTTACTATTTTACTTACATTGATAGTTTTGTGTTGATGTCCCTATAAGTTTAAGATGAAGAGATTCTTTATTAGTCCCACAGTGGGGAAATTCCAGTGTTGCATTACAAGTTACAGAACTGAAGGAATGAGGAGCACACAGCAAAAAATACATAAACAATAACTCAAAAACTAAAATAAAATCTGTAACTTTAGCATAATAAAGTAGCAAGTCTATAAAAAACTGTATATTCTAGAGTGCAATAGATATATAGTTGTATGCTAACAGCTGTACATGCTAGCAGCACGAGGGTCTGGGACAAATTGAAAATAAAACTGCAGTAACTTATGGTTCATTGTACATTCTGACTTCTACCGTTTATTATTGGGTTATTGGGTTTATTATTTTATTATTGCTGTTTTGATTCTCTGATGTGTTGTTGGCTAATCCCCAACTTTATAAAGTCCTCCCAGACGTCAGTGACAGAGATTTATAAAACAAACGCATTGAATGGATTATGATTGAAAAGAAAAGTTCCGTGTGCGTGAGAACTGCGTTATCATTTTTGGCAACACGTCAAGAAAGACTGTGTTTTATGTTCCCGCTCACGATAATCTGGAAATAGAGGAAACCAGAGTAACACGAGAATCTGCAAGACTGGATTTAGGACAGTAATGAATCCCTGTGGTCTCTGCGGGAGCGAAGGGAGAGCGCTGCTGCCCCCTGCTGGAGCCTGCGGTCACTGTAGTCACTCCAGTAGTGGAGTTCAGAGAAAGTCTCCACAATATGAATCAGTTTCTCACCAGATTTATTAGAAGATTCTTGCTTCTTTATTGTGTAAAAGCTAGAGATTTTATTTTATAGGAGTAGACTGAACAAGCTGGTCAGGAGGGCCAGCTCCACTCTGGGCTGCTCCCTGGACTCTGTGGAGGAGGTGAGGGACAGGAGTCCCCTGGACTCTGTGGAGGAGGTGAGGGACAGGAGTCCCCTGGACTCTGTGGAGGAGGTGAGGGACAGGAGTCCCCTGGACTCTGTGGAGGAGGTGAGGGACAGGAGGCCCCTGGACTCTGAGGAGGAGGTGAGGGACAGGAGTCCCCTGGACTCTGTGGAGGAGGTGAGGGACAGGAGTCCCTTGGACTCTGTGGAGGAGGTGAGGGACAGGAGGCCCCTGGACTCTGAGGAGGAGGTGAGGGACAGGAGTCCCCTGGACTCTGTGGAGGAGGTGAGGGACAGGAGTCCCCTGGACTCTGTGGAGGAGGTGAGGGACAGGAGTCCCCTGGACTCTGTGGAGGAGGTGAGGGACAGGAGGCCCCTGGACTCTGTGGAGGAGGTGAGGGACAGGAGTCCCCTGGACTCTGTGGAGGAGGTGAGGGACAGGAGTCCCTTGGACTCTGTGGAGGAGGTGAGGGACAGGAGGCCCCTGGACTCTGTGGAGGAGGTGAGGGACAGGAGGCCCCTGGACTCTGTGGAGGAGGTGAGGGACAGGAGGCCCCTGGACTCTGTGGAGGAGGTGAGGGACAGGAGGCCCCTGGACTCTGTGGAGGAGGTGAGGGACAGGAGGTGCTAGTGAAAGTCACCTCCATCATGGACAACACCTCCCACTGCACAGGACTGAGGAGGAGCTGAGGAGTTCCTTCAGTGTAAGAAGGAGCGCTACCACAGGGCCTTTATCCCCACCGCTGTCAGACTGTACAATAAGTCACTTGCATTAGGACTGAAAAACCTGCACTACTAGTGACGCTCTTTCTGATTGCCACTTTTTATTGTACATAATATATCCTGCATTTAACATGTTTTCATATTTCTTACTCTTTGCACAATCTTGAGTGTTTCTGTCCATGCCAGATGTGACATGTACATTTCTCCTTTGTGAGATCAATAAAGTATATCCTATCTTATACTTGTTTCTTTATTATACTAAAGTTAGCGATTTTATACTCGTTCCTCCATCCATCCATTTTCTACCCCTTAATCCATTTCTGTGTTGGGGGGGTGGCCAGAGCTGCACTCAGTACACTTAGCACCAGCCCCTCACTGATCCTCCTGCAGGTGCTGAGTCCACAGGAGAATGGCTGCTCTATGGCACAGCCTTGATCTTTCAGCGAGGGCTTCAGGCAAAGTGGGGTTAAGTGTCTTGCACAAGGACACAACGACAGCAGTCATCAGTGGGAGTCGGTGGAGAAGGTCTCATGGTGGGCTCAAACCCACGACCTTTAGGCTCAAAGACCAATGCTCTACCAACTGAGCCACTGTCGCCCCCTTTCGCTCTTTTGTTATGCTAAAGTTAGAGATTCTCTTTTTTTCTAGTACAGAGTTATTGTTCATTGATCTTGTGCTGTGTGCTCCTCATTCCTGCTGCTCTGTGACCGCTGATGCAACACTGGAATGGGAAAGAAGTAAAAACGTGTAGACTCGCACCACATGAACATAGGTCGACTACATGGATTTAGTCATTTAAATAACTGTTTAATAATTGGTTGTGTTCAGAACAATTACACACTTAACACAAGGACTCCCAGACTTTTCATAAATCAGCTGAAATATAAACAAAATTTGTGGGCAATTTCTCAGAAGTCCATTGGTTTGAATGGTGCATCCTTCTTTACCCTCGTACTTCAATCTGGAGAGACTCAAACTGACGAAATAAGGTGTTATTAGAATTTTCTATTGGTTGGCAGTAATCCGACACAAAAATGACATCTGACTCTGAGGACAATATTTTCAAGATTAAATTTTTTGTGTTGTACAGAAATGGGGTTAGGATTTGGTGAAGGGGAAAGAGATTATGAGATGAGCCAGACCTTGAAAGAGCCGACCCGGAATGAGACGGAGATGGGGAGGAGGAGGGTTGCGGCGTGAGCGAAGCGGTGCCTGATTGCTGCCAGGTGAGGATTGGCGTGTGGCACTGCCGCTGAGCGTGATTGACTGATGCTGTTGCCGTTAGCGACCGTTAGTTCTTCCAGTCTGAATTAACACGTTACCGTCATGATTAAAATCTGCTTTCTCACTGAGTAAAAACCATTGAGTGTATTTTAAATTTTTATTTCAAACCCTTTCTCCAAAGTTTCTGATAATGACATCATGGCATGACCATGTACAGTACATGCTGGACTCTGAAGCACCTGTTTTTAAACCACACCAGCTAAAATGTGAAAGTAAGTCATTTTGTTCAGATATCGGCCACACTGCAGTAATAATAATAACAGGCAAAGTGACTAGTGAATGACAGAAGTATCAGATGGATATGTAATAATGCAGTAATAACACAGTAATAATGCAGTAATAATGCAGTAATAATACAGTAATAATGCAGTAATGATGCAGTAATAATTCAGTAATAATGCAGTAATAATACAGTAATAATGCAGTAATAATACAGTAATAATACAGTAATAATGCAGTAATAATACAGTAATAATACAGTAATAATCCAGTAATAATGCAGTAATAATACAGTAATAACGCAGTAATAATACAGTAATAATACAGTAATAATTCAGTAATGATGCAGTAATAATTCAGTAATAATGCAGTAATAATACAGTAATAATACAGTAATAATGCAGTAATAATACAGTAATAATGCAGTAATAATACAGTAATAATGCAGTAATAATTCAGTAATAATGCAGTAATAATGCAGTAATAATGCAGTAATAATACAGTAATAATGCAGTAATAATACAGTAATAATACAGTAATAATTCAGTAATAATTCAGTAATAATACAGTAATAATTCAGTAATAATACAGTAATTATTCAGTAATAATACAGTAATAATATAGTAATAATGCAGTAATAATGCAGTAATAATGTCGTAATAACACAGTAATAATGCAGTAATGATACAGTAATAATACAGTAATAATACAGTAATAATTCAGTAATAATACAGTAATATTGCAGTAATAATGCAGTAATAATGCAGTAATAACACAGTAATAATGCAGTAATAATACAGTAATAATACAGTAATAATACAGTAATAATAACAATAGGTAAAGTGACTAGTGACAAAGTTACGAGTGAATTATTATCAATGGCAAGAATCAGACCCAGAAAACGTTTAGTTTTTTTTACCCTGAGACCAAACGGGCCGAGTTGGGAGTGGTCCTGATCAACTGGTTTTGGCCTCAGGTTTAAGATTACATCATAGGGACAAACAAGTTAGTAAATATGTGACCTGGGGGGGGTCTGGCTCCTGGGTCTGGCTCCTGGTCTGTTGAGCCTGGAGCTGGGACCCGAAAGGAGGTTGGTGCCAGAGGGCCCCAGACAGACGATAAATACAGACACGACAGTTACAAACTCTGGGGCAGGACCACAAAAATCAAATCTTAATGTATCTTGATTTGAGTAGCCTAATTGTATAGACTATCTGAAGATTAGCATAAGATTAGCATCGCTTGAGTTTTATACATGTTTAGCTCTGTTATTTTGCATTTCTTGTTCTAATGCAATGTATATAAGTCAGAATAGGTTTTTAATCCCAAAATTGCAATTCAGAAAAACTGTTTTATATATTGTGTTAAATTGGTCAAAATTTAATTTCGTTTTTTTTTCTTCTTTTCAATGCAATAAAGGACCGTCACATCAAGGAACACACACACACACACACACACACACACATAGCAATATCCTTGTTTGTGACTACATGTTACTCACAATGGAAATACAAGAATTCTTATTCTGATGCATTATTATTGTTGCTATCGATCCATTTTCTTCCCCTTAATCCATTTCTGGGTCGGGGGGGTAACAGTCAGAGCTGCACCCAGTACACAGAGCACCAGCCCCTCACTGATTCTCCTGCAGGTGCTGAGTCCACAGGTGCCTTGATTATTCAGTGGGGGCTTCAGGCGAAGTGGGATTAAGTGTCTTGCCCAATGACACAACAACAGCAGTCATCAGTAGGAGTCGTGGTGGTGGGCTCAAACCCACGGCCTTCATGCTCAAAGGCCAATGCTCTACCAACTGAGCCACTGTCGCCCTGTAATATTATTACTATCTTAGTATTGTTATTATCATAATTGGTACAAAATGCCAATATAAACTTTGAACCACGTTTTCAAATCAAACTGTTTAGTTTCTTCTTCTGAACATCTTCTTGCAGCCGACATTGAGGAATATTAAACTACTTTTCCCAGAAGCCCTCACTCCATCCATCTTTCCCTGTCGCCTGAAACAAGAGCTGGAGGTAAGATGACCCTCCATAATAAAGAAAAGGGGGCCATGTCAGTCTGTGAAAGCGGCCCTTCAACCGTCTGGCAGCCGGAGAATGGAGCGGCAGGTGAGGGTCCGCGGCGTCACCGTCACCGGCCGCTGACCCTGCACGGAAAAAACCCTCTATTCTCTACATCATATACTGCAGCCTTTATGTTGTGTTTGTGATATTGTCCTTGAGAATGGGAGAATTTCAAGCATGAAAATCAATAGAATGGGGACGAAAGGCGTGGAATCCTCTGTGGAAGCGCTGCAGCGGGACCTTTGTGATATGGTTTTACTCTTAATGTCACAGTGGACAGTTCAGTACAAAGAAGGGCAGAAGAAAAACAGAATGGATTTGGAAAAATGTGGTGTTTCAGTAACGCTTTAGATTAACATTTTTAATTACAGCTAATTAAATGCTGTTTAGTGAATACTTAATGGTTAATTAGGTATTAAATTGGTATTTATCAAGCACTTATTCACTAATTACCTTAGCACTGACACTTTCCCTGTGGCATAGGGTTAGGGTTTGAATTCTGGTCTCTCTCACCCTTGTTTCCCTCTACGGTCTCTTTCTGACTCTGTTCTCTCTGTTCCGCTCTCTCTCTCCGTGCTCTCTATCTCTGGTCTCTCATTTTGGTCTCTCTCTCTGGTCTTTCGCTTTGGTCACTCTCTCTCTCTGGTTTCCCTCTATGGTCTCTTTCTGACTTTGGTCTCTCTCTGGTCTCTCGCACCGCTCTCTCACTCTGGTCATATTGAAGAAATCAAGAAAGTTATCACATGAATATCACATGTTTGGCCATTCTCTGACAAACATAATATTAATATTTGCTCAACAAACACATGACACAACAGAGATTTTTGATTATTTTTATTTCAAACCCTTTCTCCAAAGTTTCTCATAATGACATGACCATGTACAGTACGTGCTGGACTATGAAGCACCTGTATTTAAACCACACCAGCTAAAATGTGAAGTCATTTTGTTCAGATATAGGCCACACTTGAATATAAGCGGCAGGTTTTCATGTTGTAATGCAACTCTTCACCCGTGTTTTAAATACACTGAAAAATAATAAAATATGTGGTAATAAATGCTTGAATTGAGTGTTTTTAGTTCATTCTGACTGTGTTAAAACTAGATTAATCATTTTTCTTAATTTTCTCATTGGTAAATTTAAATGTGCTCAAAATTTTTCCAAATTTGTTTTATTTTTCATCACTTGCAGCGTGGACACAACATAATTCAATGACGCAGTGTTTTGACTTGAAATCCAACTTATCTCGACAATAAACGTGCGTTCCATCTCTACCAAAACGTTATGGAATAAATATAAGAAACAAATTCAAAATGAAACCCCATAAACTTTATTCTGGCCTTAATCATTTAAAACCAGTCTTGTGTATTTCCCTGCACTTCCCTCTGTGTCTTTACTGTTCACATAAACACACCAGGAAGCAGGAATGTGCACTACGTAAATCAGCTGTAGAGATCAACAGCTGATAGAGGCGTGTCCGGGCCCCCCTCCTGTACTCTGGGGGGCGCTCTAACGATTCTCTAACCTAAGTTTAAATAAGTAGTAGCTTATAGTTCAGCAAGCACCGTCTCTGCACTGGTACAATCTGTGTCTGTAATGTTCAGGGGATTTATTTTATTTATTTATAATAAAAAAAAAAACAATACAGCAAATAAATAATTCAAAGTAACTTATTTTGATAAAGAGCAAATAAAATCAAAAGTATGCAAAGCAGTTCTAATGGTCAGGACTAAACATGGGGAGGCAGCGTTTCAGATTTATGCAGCTAAAATCTTCCTGAAAATGTGAGACAGGCTTCAATCTGACAATGTTCAAATCCAGGTTAAAAACAGTTTCTCTGAGCGACCGTTTTTAAAGTACTGCGACAAATAATGGTTTGAATGCCTTGCGATTTTTAATATTTCTTGTTTTTTTGAGTTGCCTTGAGTAAACCGGCCTTTGTTTTTCACATATTCAATCAAAACATGGACATTAGAAAGTCAAATCAGCAGCAGGAGAGCAAGAAAAAAGGAGAAAAAAGGAGACAAATCCGTGATGCCTCCTTAAGTAAACTATTGCCAATAACACAAACAGGAACTTAACTATCATTCCTCAATCTGACCTGTTTAAACTTACAAAAACACAAAAACACTTGAAGGAACGGATTCAATATTTATGATACAACAGTAGAGATTCATCCCAATAAATTATTATCATCTAGAAAAGAGATATTATATACGCTATACAAGATATTCAAAAAAAGCCTAAATTTAGTCACAGTGGAGGGAGGAAGCGGGAAAAAACAGGAAGTGGAATTTTAGCTCTTGTTTTACATCTAAAATATAGGATTTTCCCAACGTGGATTTATAGAGAACGCTCCGTGTGTGCAGGAAGTATGTTGGGAAAACCGTGTGTGTGTGTGAGTGGGCGGTGAACAGAGTAACAATGGTACAGGAGACCCTTTCGTCAAGAGAGAAACGGACGCTGAAATATTGCACTGGACGAATGATTTCTGTGGTCTTCGCGCCGAGGAAGAGGGAGAAATGTTCTGAACGAGGCACTTTCAAAGCGGCGTGCACACACTCGGAGGGCAGCACGCACTCAGACGCACACACAGACGCACACTGACACACACACACACACACACACTTCAGCCAGAGTCCATGCTGAAGAGCTCGATGCCGTGTGGACTCCAGTGCAGACCCACGCCCGAGTTGAAGACCAAGGACCAGACGTAGGGGATGAAGAAGTCCTCGGGCTGGTCCTCCTCCACGTATTTGAACTTCAGCTCGGGAAATTTCTGTCCAAAAACAACGACGACAAGGAGAATTAAAGCCAGTTTGGTGAAGAGAAAGGAGGTAAAGAAACAGTGAAAAGACAAATTTTAAACATGCATTTTTTCTACAATAAGTCTCTTTCTTTACTCTGGCTCAGTCCTGGATCTACAGCCTCGGTCCTGGATCTACAGCCTCGGTCCTGGTTCTACAGCCTCAGTCCTGGTTCTACAGCCTCAGTCCTGGTTCTACAGCCTCAGTCCTGGTTCTACAGCCTCAGTCCTGGTTCTACAGCCTCAGTCCTGGTTCTATAGCCTGTACATCTGTAGGACCAGGCTCCTTCTCAATCTGTGCCTCCCCAAGATTTCTCACATTTAATTCACAGTTTAAAAAAAATAAGTATTTTTCTTGTTAAGCTATTCCTTCAATATTAAATTGAATTCAAAGGAAGTAATAGCCATTTCAATGACTATAGTCTCTAAAGGGAACGAATCCCGACTCTCTGGACAGAATGTGAGGAGAGTGTGAGTGACAGGTCTCGTTAGAGGAACAGGGGTTAAACGTTTGTAATCCTTCTCTGTCAGACGCAGCGGTGCTCTGTAACTGTAATTACATCTGTGTCACAGGTACCACTGTCTACAGCTGCGTCTCACTGTGTACACACCGGCAGAGCACAGGTACCACTGTCTACAGCTGCGTCTCACTGTGTACACACCGGCAGAGCACAGGTACAACTGTCTACAGCTGCGTCTCACTGTGTACACACCGGCAGAGCACAGGTACAACTGTCTACAGCTGCGTCTCACTGTGTACACACCGGCAGAGCACAGGTACCACTGTCTACAGCTGCGTCTCACTGTGTACACACCGGCAGAGCACAGGGACCACTGTCTACAGCTGCGTCTCACTGTGTACACACCGGCAGAGCACAGGTACCACTGTCTACAGCTGCGTCTCACTGTGTACACACCGGCAGAGCACAGGGACCACTGTCTACAGCTGCGTCTCACTGTGTACACACCGGCAGAGCACAGGTACCACTGTCTACAGCTGCGTCTCACTGTGTACACACCGGCAGAGCACAGGGACCACTGTCTACAGCTGCGTCTCACAGTGCACACACCGGCAGAGCACAGGTACAACTGTCTACAGCTGCGTCTCACTGTGTACACACCGGCAGAGCACAGGGACCACTGTCTACAGCTGCGTCTCACTGTGTACACACCGGCAGAGCACAGGGACCAGGCTGCTGATGAAGAGCAACAAAACTCACATGTGTTTGTCTGTGTGTGTGTGTGTGTGTGCGTGTACATGTGTATAGGTGTGTCTGTGTGTGTGTGTGTGTGTGTGTGTGTGTGTGTGTGTGTGTGTGTGTGTGTACATGTGTATAGGTGTGTCTGTGTGTGTGTGTGTGTGTGTGTGTGTGTGTGCGTGTACATGTGTATAGGTGTGTGTGTGTGTGTGTGTGTGTGTACATGTGTATAGGTGTGTGTGTGTGTGTGTGTGTGTGTACATGTGTATAGGTGTGTCTGTGTGTGTGTGTGTGTGTTTGTCCTCATGGTCTCTGTGGGCTGGTCTGGTCGGACACGAGACTTTATGAACGAAAGAAAAAAAAAAACAATATCCGGAATCATTGTCAAATCTGCTCCTCCTTTAGATACTGCTCTGTGTGTTTGTGTGTTTGTGTGTTTGTGTGTGTGGAGCTCATCTAGAGCCAAGGGCCACTCGCAAAAAAACGTTAGTGACCAAAATAAACTTCTTAACTGAAAATGCGAACTGGATTATGACATGTTTGCTCTCAAAAAAGTGTTGCCCAACTATTTTTGAGCTGTGCGTACATTATTTTTGTAAAAAATAAATCAAACGGCAAATCACCAGCTGAAAATTATACAAAAATTAAGCTTTTATCATGAAAACAAAGTGACTCTAATCAAAGGGTATTATACAGAAAATCAACGCAAAGTCTTTGGAATCTTCTCACATTATTTTAACCGATTATTTGATACTGGATTTTTTCTCAAGGCAAACCAAACAATATCTCACGGCACAGTAATGTACCACGGCCCACTGGTTGAAAAACACTGGTCTAAACGCTCCCTCATGTGCTTTAACTGAGTCCGGTGCTCTCCGCAGACCACTTCTACAGACCACTTCCCAACAGGTGCACGGCTTTGTATTTACGCATCCACAACAAAAAATAATGAAATCAAAAGAAAATAATCCACAGCTGTGTCCTCGGTGACGGAGGAAAGTGTGGAATAACCTCATTAGTGCGAACAGTGGCTGCTCTTGTTCACAGACAGACGCAGACAATGACTTTAGCCAGAAACAGTTGCCAGGTTTGAAAGCACAGAGAGGATTATGGACAAATTAGAGCAACATTAGTGAAGGTCCACACACACGGCTGAACGAACGCTTCATGAAGGATAATCGCAACACTTTTATAGAAATCTGAATCAACATGAAATACTTATAAGAATTCATTATTAACTAATCATTAACTCTGGATTCAAATATATATCTGTTAAATAACTACAACATTTCTACTAAATAACATGTTTGAGTAGAAATGGGTGTCCAACTAATTTTTTGCTTTTTGCTGTCTTAGCCCCCTCCTTTTACCAGGAACTCTGTGGAAACACCACTATTTTTGGTTTAGAGAAATGTTCTTTAACTGTGTCTCTGGTTTTTCAGATGGAAATATATCATCCTAAAATAGGTGCAATATATTTTTACCTCTGCTCAGGTCGTTTTCCATTAAATTCAATTCAATACATTTACAACGGTAGTTAACTTTGAGGACTTTACTCTGAAACGTGGACAAGAATAAAGGATCTCTTCTTCTTCTTAATACATTGAGTTTCCTACAGTTGAAAAGTCCTCATGCTCCACAACATCACTGCTGCTGCTGCCTCCAGAACAGCAGGTGGAGAAGCATCAATAATGTAGTAGAAACTCATTAAAAGCTACTGTCTGCACATGCATGTATACACACATACACACACAGAGACAGAGAGACACACACATACACACACAGAGACACACACAGTAAGCAGCCTGCAGTGACAGACAGACGCTGTATGGAGCAGTCCGCCGTATTCAGTCGCTGCTGCCTTTATTCTGCACAGACCTGGTGCTATCACAATGACAGAGACACAGAGGGTCAGGGGGTCACAGGCCATATGCCAGGCCATCAGGGCGAGACCGCACGCACACACACACACACACACACACACACACACACACACACACACACACACACACACACACACACACACACACACACAGCCCTATTGTCGCCGCAAAGACACAATGCCTGAGCTGTATTATCAAGCCGGTATTTGTGAGTAGGTGAGTGTTCGGTAGAGACATTACCAGCTCATCAAAAGTTAATTTGACACTGACAGCACCAGGAGCAACAGCGGCTTTGTACACAGCAAAAAAATGTAAAATATGAGGTAATAAATTCTTGAATCAAGTGGTTTTTGACTGCCAAGATTTAAACCAGATTCTCCAATGGGACAAAGTCATTTAGTCTTATTTCAAGAACTGTGGCTTTATTTTCTCATTCCAAGGGAGACATTTCGGTATCTTTTTAAAACAAGATCATTTTGCTTTGTCCCGTTGGAAAATCTTAGGCTCAGTCAGAACGTGCTCAAATGAAGATTATTTTTGACAAATGTGAGCAATTTTAGACTTATTTTTCATGACTTTTTGTAGTGTACAGTCTTGCACATATTCAGTGCTGTAATTATTATCCAACACTTTTATTATTATTATTATTATTATTCATGTTTATTAAGGACATTACGGTCCATAGTTAAAAGAAAATATACAAATAAATATGAAAGTAAGTATGTATGATGCTAAACTGCCTTTTGTTGCATTGTTTTGACTATGTAAAGACAATAAAGTATATATATAATAATCTAATCAAAGTCATGCAGGACAATAAAGTTATTATGTTTCTTCACCTGCAGCAACTCAATTCAATGTATTTTTGTATCGCCCTAAACAACAACAATAGTTATCGCTGACGACTTTACAAAACTGTCAATTCACCAACACAGATCAGAAAAACAGTTCAAACATCCAGGGCCTGATCCACCCTTATGTCTCCAACAGGAGTCTGAGGTCCTCCACTCAGAACCTGTTGATGGTCCTCCACTCAGAACCTGTTGATGGTCCTTCACTCAGAACCTGTTGATGGTCCATCACTCAGAACCTGTTGATGGTCCTTCACTCAGAACCTGTTGAAGGTCCTCCACTCAGAACCTGTTGAAGGTCCTCCACTCAGAACCTGTTGATGGTCCTCCACTCAGAACCTGTTGATGGTCCTCCACTCAGAACCTGTTGATGGTCCTTCACTCAGAACCTGTTGATGGTCCTCCACTCAGAACCTGTTGATGGTCCTCCACTCAGAACCTGTTGATGGTCCTTCACTCAGAACCTGTTGATGGTCCATCACTCAGAACCTGTTGATGGTCCTTCACTCAGAACCTGTTGATGGTCCTTCACTCAGAACCTGTTGATGGTCCTTCACTCAGAACCTGTTGATGGTCCTCCACTCAGAACCTGTTGATGGTCCTCCACTCAGAACCTGTTGATGGTCCTTCACTCAGAACCTGTTGATGGTCCTCCACTCAGAACCTGTTGATGGTCCTCCACTCAGGACCTGTTGATGGTCCTTCACTCAGAACCTGTTGATGGTCCTTCACTCAGAACCTGTTGATGGTCCTCCACTCAGAACCTGTTGATGGTCCTCCACTCAGAACCTGTTGATGGTCCTCCACTCAGAACCTGTTGATGGTCCTTCACTCAGAACCTGTTGATGGTCCATCACTCAGAACCTGTTGATGGTCCTTCACTCAGAACCTGTTAAAGGTCCTCCACTCAGAACCTGTTGATGGTCCTTCACTCAGAACCTGTTGATGGTCCATCACTCAGAACCTGTTGATGGTCCTTCACTCAGAACCTGTTGAAGGTCCTCCACTCAGAACCTGTTGAAGGTCCTCCACTCAGAACCTGTTGATGGTCCTCCACTCAGAACCTGTTGATGGTCCTTCACTCAGAACCTGTTGATGGTCCTTCACTCAGAACCTGTTGATGGTCCTTCACTCAGAACCTGTTGAAGGTCCTCCACTCAGAACCTGTTGAAGGTCCTCCACTCAGAACCTGTTGATGGTCCTCCACTCAGAACCTGTTGATGGTCCTCCACTCAGAACCTGTTGATGGTCCTCCACTCAGAACCTGTTGATGGTCCTTCACTCAGAACCTGTTGATGGTCCTCCACTCAGAACCTGTTGATGGTCCTCCACTCAGAACCTGTGGCTTGCCGGAGGGTCTGTAGGCTGCAGATGGAAACACAGACGTCCCACCTCTTCTCAAAAAGCAGCCGGCTTCGTTGGAGGTTTTTAATAAATGTTCATCAACACAATGCTCCATTTTTGAGTCACATTCAAGAATATCTGCTAGCTTTCTGAGGCTATGGCCGAGTTTGAGGGCCAAGGATGGAGTCTTGTATTGATTTGTTTCCTCTCATAAGCCACTGACCTGATGCATCAATCACATGGTTAAAGTTGGAAGGAATAAAGAAATCCTTAATTGTTTTCAGTTTCCCTGCGGTTTTTGCTTCGTTAATTAACCTACCGACTTCTCTCATTTTCTGCCTAATGTAATCATGCTTTGTCTTATCATGCCCGTGTTTTAAGTACAGGTGCTCTCCGAGTCTCAGAATCCCCTTTTCTGCTTTGACAACACCCGTGACCTCATCCTGATGCATTGCCGAAATTAAAGACCACAGCTTTTTGCTGATGCCCTCCGGTACAGGCTGGGCTAGGGAGCAGAGGGACTGGACCCTACTTCTACCTGGTTTAGCCTGGGCATCTTTCTGTGAAAGCCGGCACCTGGCCACATGCCTCCACAGCGACTTTCGCTTAAGCAATGCCCCACAGTCTATACAGTGCAAAAACTCACTGGATTTAACTGGGCAATTTGGCTGTTTAGCTGGGACTAAAGTTCCAATGCCGGCCTTTAAAACCTCAAAATTGTGCTCACGGTTTCCACTATTCCTGATCAAATCAAACTGAAGTTTACGTGCTTTAGATTTCACAGGTAGAGCCAATGCTCTGGCTACGTCACTTTCATTTCCATGTTTTCTAGTCAAATGACGGGACATTTTGTGGCAGGACATTGAACAGTAGAGGCAGAAGTGTCTCTTGCTGTATACTCGCCCCCCATTTTTCTTCTTTTGCAGCTGCATGATAACAATCTTATTTGCCTTTGGTTCGTCACTTTCCGAGTCTTGAAGAAAAGTGTTTTTGATTTTTCTTTTTCCATACTTTTTTACAGGTTTCTTCTTGACAGTTAAATCGTCAGAATCTGAGTCGACTTCATCAATTAGGGACTCTTGACTAAGCTGCACAAACAACAAATAATTTGTAATCATTCTATATAACAATTTGAAGTCATGACTTGTAGTCAGCACTTACCAGTGGTTTGTAAGCGTGCGCTTCAGTGTGCTCCTCCATGATTTCTTGCAGCCTAATGAACCACACACTTGCACCTTTTTCTAGCCTGACACCTGATTTCCTCTGTTGTGCTGCTCCATGATTGGCTCCAGCCTGCTGGACTGAAATTGCCCCAGTGTGCCCCTCCTTGATATCCCGCAACCCACCACCAGGGTTCCGACACATAACACACTTTTTTCAGGAAAGTAAACCTCCAGGGGTCCTTTCCATATTTTTACAGAGACTGCATAAGGACCGTTAGAAAAGCATTACCCATTGATTATTAAGCTTGGACCAGTGGGGTCCGGTGTTCGGGCCCCACCACGTAAAACCAGTCCCCATGACGTGAGTGGAATCTCAGGTTATGGAACCCACCAGGAGTTGAAAACAAGTACACACACACACACACACACACACACACACACACACACACACACACACACACACACACACACACACACACACACACACACACACACACACACACACACACACACACACACACACACACACACACACACACACACACACACACACGAGCGGATTTGCAGTTATAGCTTTAGGGAGGCTTGGAGCACTGAGGGATTGAGGCGAGTACGGCTGCCTCATACTTATGGATTGCAGTGGAGCCTATGGCGACATGTGCACCACCCCCATTCCCTCAGACTGGTGTACGCCACGCGGAGACGCACACAGAGGCTGGTTCTTTTCCGCTGTTACATGAATAACACAGACAAGAATGACAGCCTTCTCTCGCCCGGGCCCCTCCCCCACACACACAACAACATGCTCAATATTTGACAGGGAGCCTCTTGACACAATGGGACTGATTAATTCATCGATAATGCTTAGAGATGCACAGTCCAACAGCACCCTGCATGTTAAGGCCAGGGCTCCCAGGGCAGTCAATTTGACGGCTTTCAGTCTGGGAGGCGTCATGAGTCGGCGTATGTACATTTTTGGTCTTCAGAACTTTTTCTGTATCTATGTTTAGTTTGTTTCTATTAGTATTTGTAGATAAATATTTTTTATTTTTGAGATGCGAGTAGCTTTAACTAAACACGGGGAGGCAGCATTGCAGATTCATGCAGCTAAAATCTGGAACAGTCTTCCTGAAAATGTGTGACAGACAGGCTTCTACTTGTACTGTGATTATTAAGGTCTTGTGAGATTGTTTCGATCGTGTTTTGTTCTACACTTTGAGTTTCCCCGTGTATGAACTGCGCTATATAAAAAAACCTTGCCAAACTCCCAGAGCAAGTGCAAGCTACCATAGCAACAACACACCGTTTACATCCAGAAGTTATTATTTGGCCTGTTTAAGCATGTGTTTTAGCATGTTTTCAAAGTGAGTGAAGGTCAAAACTTTATAAATTAATTACTGTAAATAAATCTAATGAAAAACTAAAAATGTTTTTGGTTAAATTTCTTAGGATTCCATTGGTTTGAATGTGAGAAGTGAAAATGGCGGCTACGAGAATTCTAGTAGCTTCAGAATACTGGGAGGGTTAGCGTTAGCAATGCAGACCAATATATTCAGACCAAATCAGCTTCTTTAAAACTTTCCAGCGAGATTCAAAACACACTCTTTCCGTGTAACCTTGATCTATGGAAAGAAACTTCAGTATGAAACTGTAGAAAGACACCAGGAACTAAGCTAATTAAAGAACAGTATGAACAGGAGGTCGGAGTTTTCTTCTTCCCACTCCTTTTTGAGCCAAAAAAAAAAAAAAAGATATATACACACCATATTTTTCGCACTATTAGGCGCACATAAAAGCCTTTGATTTCAACCATGCGCCTTATAATCCAGTGCACCTTATAGTGCGAAAAATATATGTCGTACAGATCCTCGCCTGTACCTTTTTTTTAATTTATTTTTTATTCTTCATTCTCTTGTTGCCGATGTGTGTGTACAGTGCTTCCTGCATGTCTTGAGAAGTACACTGCAAAAAATGATCAAATATGAGATCATAATTGCTAGAATCGAGTTTTGACTTGACTTAAGTTCATTCTGACTGTCTTAAAATGAGATTTGCCAATGAGACAAGCAATGTTGACTTGATTCAAGAACTATTGCTTTATTTTCTCATTCCAAGAGAAAAATATCTTGTATCTTTTTAAAACAAGACAATTTTTCTTGTTCCACTGGCAAATCGTGTTTTAAAGCTGCACTAACTGACTTTATTTTTGTATTCATTACAAAAGTGCTATCCATGTCCATGTAGTGCATTGGGATATATGTCCTTTTGAAGAAAAAGTAGCGCAGGTTTGTGCTGGCGTAACATAATATTTTAGATCGAGTTTTGATGAAACAAGGAAGAGAATGTGTTTCGGGTCGCAGATTGTGACCAATCACAGCGGACCACTGGCCCCCACTTTCGTGAGAAATCTACAGGTTCGTTAGCATAGACGGCTGAGTTAGCACAACAAGCCGAGGAGCTAACCTGAAACTTCGTGTGTCTTCGTCACCGGTTACTGCTTACACAGCGAGACAGCCATCCAAAAGAAAGTCTCGTTCCTCCGCGCTTCCCGGTTCTATCGTTCTATGGTCACGCCATCCACGTGCAAATCCATATCCATGTATTATCCATATTGAGAGACGCTAGCTCCGTCCCAACAGTGGGTGTGTGTGGGGGGGGAGATAGCTTCGTGGGTGCGGGGAGGGGAGCAGAAAGAGCGAGGCCAGCGAGTCTGCTGCTTCAAAATCCCAAAGTCAGTTAGTGCAGCTTTAAGGCAGTAAAAATGTGCTCAAATTTAGATACATTTAGCCAAATTTTTGCATTTTTTTGCCTTTAACTCTGTCATCTTTTGCAGTGTATTCAAATCAAAACAAAACAATAGATTTATACTGCTAACAAAAAACCAATGCGATAGAACTCACCGTGTCCAGGTTCTGCATGATGTCCTGAAAGGAAGGGTGCGTCCGAAACTGCTCGAACATCTCCCTCTTGTAGAGCAGAGCGTACACCAGGTTAGGGTTGTGGTGCAGAGAGTTGCACAGACACGAGTTGATGATTTCTAGCATCATGCGGATCACTTCCTCTATGACGTTGAGATCCTGAGCCTGGGGGAAAGTGAAGATGAGAAAGGTTAATTGGCTTTCTACAAGACTGGTTTCCCGTAATTAACGAACTTTTAAGTGATTTCTTCTTGATGAAGGCATTGATCACCAGGAAAGAGTTTATTCATTCAGTATGTTTACATCTGTACTTGTTAGCAGCAGTATGTTTACATCTGTACTTGTTAGCAGCAGTATGTTTACATCTGTACATGTTAGCAGCAGTATGTTTACATCTGTACTTGTTAGCAGCAGTATGTTTACATCTGTACTTGTTAGCAGCAGTATGTTTACATCTGTACTTGTTAGCAGCAGTATGTTTACATCTGTACATGTTAGCAGCAGTATGTTTACATCTGTACATGTTAGCAGCAGTATGTTTACATCTGTACTTGTTAGCAGCAGTATGGTACATCTGTACATGTTAGCAGCAGTATGTTTACATCTGTACATGTTAGCAGCTGTATGTTTACACCTGTACATGTTAGTAGCAGTATGTTTACATCTGTACATGTTAGCAGCAGTATGTTTACATCTGTACATGTTAGCAGCTGTATGGTACATCTGTACATGTTAGCAGCAGTATGTTTACATCTGTACATGTTAGCAGCTGTATGTTTACACCTGTACATGTTAGCAGCAGTATGTTTACATCTGTACATGTTAGCAGCTGTATGTTTACACCTGTACATGTTAGCAGCAGTATGTTTACATCTGTACATGTTAGCAGCTGTATGTTTACACCTGTACATGTTAGTAGCAGTATGTTTACATCTGTACATGTTAGCAGCAGTATGTTTACACCTGTACATGTTAGTAGCAGTATGTTTACATCTGTACATGTTAGCAGCAGTATGTTTACATCTGTACATGTTAGCTGCAGTATGTTTACACCTGTACATGTTAGCAGCAGTATGTTTACACCTGTACATGTTAGTAGCAGTATGTTTACATCTGTACATGTTAGCAGCAGTATGTTTACATCTGTACATGTTAGCAGCAGTATGTTTACATCTGTACATGTTAGCAGCAGTATGTTTACATCTGTACATGTTAGCAGCAGTATGTTTACATCTGTACATGTTAGCAGCAGTATGTTTACATCTGTACATGTTAGCAGCAGTATGACTAACTTCCTGCCTTGTTCTTGTTGTTTGCCCCGCCCTCTTGTCTTTCACCCGTGTCTCTTTGTGTCTATATCATGTCCTCTCCCTGGACAATATGGGAATAAATATTATCCAGCAAGTTTTCGAAGCTATAGGACGCTAGCTACAATTTATTCTTGTATAGCCCTAAATCACAACAGTATCATCTCAGAAACTTAACAAAAACATTAAAATCACCAACACAGATCAGGGAATCAACAGTTAAGACACAAAAAAGAATATGCCTGCTAACGTGAGGTACTGTTTGATTGTTTTATTTACCTTTAGCTTTGTCCGTCACAAGTTGACAATTCTCATTAAATCCTGTTGCTGCACCATTAGCTGTTGGTTAAGTGTTTACATTACAACTGTGGCCTGTACGTGGCTGCACAATTTATGGCTAAAAGTATTGTTACCATGGCAACAATGACCAAACGCATCCACTGATATCCTTAATGAGCAACACGGTGGGTGCAGGGGTCAGTGGGGTGTGGGGCGTTTCTGTTGCGGCGTTTGCATGTTTTTTACGCCGCACATAGTTTTCCTCCAAGTGCTCCGGTTTCCTCTACCGCAAAAATATTGGGTAAATTGTGGGTATGTATGAATGTGCAGTGTGAGTGAGTGGATGGGTGGTGGGGAAAAGAGGGTTCGGTGCACCAGCTGTACAGTAGCCAGAATGGGAAAATGAATACTAAAAAAATGTTCAAAAAGGGGAAGATCGCTAATAATTCTGAGGACCGAGAAAAATCTGTTGCCGCATTTTCAATGATTGGACATCCTGGGCTTATCCTGTATATGTATGTATGCAAGACACCGGGGTTTCTATAGCCAAAGGGGAGCGAGTCGGAATTCATAATTTAAAAAGGATTTTTAATGTTTTTTTTTTTATTGAAGGTTGTTCATTAGCCAAAACACAGCAGGGAGTTCCTTGATGCCAGGGGCCTTAACGTTCCGCTTATCCCAGAACTATATTAACTTGAAAACAGCTTTGATCTGTTTTACCCAAACATTCACCATTACATTATCACTCGATTGCTTTCAAAACAACAGAGAGAAGGCAATCTCCGTCTGTTTGGAGATTTGGGGAGAGATTGCGGGACAAATCTGGGGCACATGTGGTCCCTGTTTTTATTGGATCGAAAAGAACACAAAAAAACATCCAGATTCTTTCTGTGTGGTCTTGTTTTTTGCTATGGGCACGAATGTGTGGAAGGTAAACCCACACAAGGGAGATTAGGAAGATGGGTGCACCCCGTCAGTTTGAGAGACATGGCATTGATTTGCAGATCCAGACAAAGGTGTGGACAATGTATGACTTTAACAAAAGCACGAGCCGAGGAAAAGGCAAGAGAGACCTGTTATAATGAGCATTGATGGAGTGCCTCTCTGGGCTCGACTCGACTGTCTAGCTTCAGTTCTGCTCCACTCTATTCTCCTCTGGCAGGCCATAATTAGACTGAAAGCAGGGACAGATATTGGAGACAAGCGAGTAGGAGGACAAGGGAGGCGGAGGAGGACAGCAGCCGAAAGGGAAGTGTGTGAGAGGAGACTATGGTTACGGCACGGAAGACAAAACAAAAAGACAGAAGGCCAAGTAGAAGCAGCCAGATGCTTAGTATGTTTGTTCTGCACCCGTCGTAATGAGATTAGGCTGGCAAGGGAAAAATGCCACGCTGAGGAATTCAGGTCAAATGAAAATAGGCTAGCTAGACGTCTGCCCGCTCTCTTCTGTATGTTTGTAAAGTGGATGAGATTAAGAGAGCCGTGCTCTACTTGAAAGATCCAGACAGGATTTAAATATTATACCTCCTTTCTTCCCTCCAGTGTCGAACAAATGTTTTCTTAACCAAGTCCTGAGAGAAGGAAAGACCTGGTGCTGGTTCAGAAGCTGTTTCAAGCAAACCACACTGGATTCCCTCGTTTAAGAGTCAGAGCCACAGTCGCCATACACTGTTTCCACATTCACACAAATGAAAAACAGAATGAGAAAAGTTTCCACTCTTTATAACTTAAAGGGCCCATATCACGGTTTTTGACTTTTCTCTGCTTTAAACATGATTACAATGCTATTTGGCCTTCACACACAAGCCCACAGTAGTTTATTCATTGATTCTGTCAATCTTTTGTAAGAGAGTAAGTAAGTAAGTAAGTTTTTATTTATATACCGCCTTTTCACTGCAGATCTGAGTCTCAAAGCGGTTTACAATTGTTAATTTTGGGCATTTGTCTCTCACTCCACACAGAGATGGGAGCGGGGTCGCCAGTACAGGAAGCGCATGCCAGAACTATTGGACATATTTTTAGTGGTAGGGGAAACCGGAGTACCCGGAGGAAACCTACGCAGACACGGGGAGAACATGCAAACTCCACTCAGAAAGGCCCTGGTCCGACCGGGATTCGAACCCAGGACCTTCTTGCTGAGAGGCGAGAGTGCTATCCACTCAGCCACCATGCCGCCCAGACAGAGCAATCTGTCTCCTTCCCCAGCGTGAGGCACAGAAACGCTCGGGTCCACTTCAGTGACGAAAACCACACTGATGACGCGCATGACCCCGTTTGCTTTGTATTTAAAATAGTTGTTAAATACTTTTGTCAAAACGGGGTAAACAATACACAATTAGTATGCTGTTTTTTGTCAAAAATAATAAAAATAAAAATAAATTAAAAGCCGGCGGGAGGTGATTGACGGATCAAAACAGCGAATCAGAGCGCACAGGCTCCGGCTCCCGAGTCCAGCGTCTGTGGTCTGGTCTCGCGGACACCACATACAGCTGCTGTTTTTATGCTTTTGTCAGCAACTAAAAGTGTTAGGATCACGTCAACTTGAATGAAGTGTGTTATGGGTGTAAATATGTGACACACTATTTGGCCCGAAGAGGAAGAAAGCGGCTCGACTTTTTTCATCTGTTCATCTCATGGATCTATTATAAACCGGTCCATCTGCGACACTTCACTGAGACTGTTCCAGAACTACAGGGACAATGGAACTGGACTTACTCAAAGGCTGATCTGGAAACACGTTATTCCCACGGTAAAAGACGATACTCGGACCCCCTCGATCTGTAAGTAGTGACGCTAACTCGCTGTATACTTCTGTAAACTAAATAACTAGGGTCTGATTGTGCATCGAGGACATAGGGCTCGATGTGACGGATTGTCATTGTTGGAAAAAGTTTATTCTTATGTATGAAATTACTAAGTACAGGTGATAAACGACAAAAGCGTGATGCTACGTCACCGTGCGGGCGGGGGGAGGCGGGCTCACAGGCAGAGGAGCAGACTCTTCTCTGGATCAGCTCGTTTGAGTCGAGGTGACGTCACCTCTATACAAGAGATGGCTCTAATCTCACAAGCTTTGATTGTTGTGTGGTGTATCATACACATTAATATCACACATGTGTATAGGATTGAGTGTGAAACATGAAGAAAAGCGTGATATAGGACCTTTAAACTTTATACATTTATCAAGTACTCAAACAAACAAAGGTAACACATTAGATACAACTTTAACTTATGAAAAACCAAAGGAAAACACTGGGAACCCTGAGGGAATTTTTAATTAAAGACAAAAGACAACAACAACAAAGCCTGAAGAATGAAGACAATGCAGGGACAATGTGAAAGGTGAAGACACACGAGTAATGGGAGGTCTTCCCGACTCCGTTCCTCCAAATTCCCTGCATGGAATTTTATTCATGGACTTGCAGTTTATCCATGTCCTGTTGGATACAATTATACCTTTTATCTCAGGGCTTTTTCAAGATGAATGGATGGTTTAAAACTACTGTTGTAGAGGTTAAGATAGTGCTTTTTCTTTAGCACATTGTTCCATTTGCTTATAGGTTGTTTGACTTTCATCCA